AGATGACATATTGTAGTCATCCAAGTACTGTTACAATAAAAAATGCAATAAATTTAAATTAATTTTTATTTTTAATAACTTTAAACAAATGCAACATTTTGAGTCATTATGAACTTTCAATATCTCCCTAGATTTTTTTTTTAATTTTTTTTCATTGGATTAAAGGATATAATAATAAATAATTATTAAAATTCAATTTAAAAACATAATTTTTTTTTAGTTTGAGAAGCAATTTTTTCATTATTTACCTCTTATTTCAAAGTAAGCACACAAAACTAAGATCTTTTCACAAATTTAAAACCAAAAATACTGAAATGTTTTAACATTTTAACAATAATAAAACATTTCAACAATCTTTATGCTATTATTTAGTAGAATAATACTAATAAAGTCATTGACAAGGTGGACAGGATTTATTTAAACCCCATCCTTCTCAGCCTTCCATCGAAGGATTTCAAAAAAAGAGAGACAAATTCTAAATGCAAAATAGGTAAATAAAATTACAACTAAATTAATTTAAATGTATTTAATTTTTTTTTGTAACCAACTGCTTATATTGTCCAAATTTAAATCAGATATGTTGTACCTACGACCTGATATTGTTGTGGGTGTAAAAACTAGGCATATAACTTCAGAATTGAGCACCCAACACTCATCATTTCTCATTAGCCAAAAGAGGTTTTTACCTGATACATGTGGATGCATGAACCTGAATTTTATATCAATCCCTAACCACTAAAATCTGTCATAAAAGCATGCAACATAATCCATTTTTTTAATGTTTAATGAAATCTCTTTATTATGTTTGCTTTTTGGAATGATATCAAATATTTCAATACATGAATCAAAACTTGTTTTTTAATAACTTAAAGTGCTTGAAGCAATTGAAATAAAATGATGATACGTCCTTGTACCAGGAACTGTTCTTCCACCTAAATATCTTTTTTCTAATTGTGCTCATGTTTGGTTGATTTCATCTTTAGAAAATAATTTTAAAACGAATTCCATTTATCTTGGCTTTACAAAAGGAGTACATTAAATTAACATCTAAAATCTGCCCAGCAATTATTTGTTTTAGACCTTCTTGACATACTACTCTTTCAACAATCAATGCCATGAAATCTTTATAAACTTTATTCCACCTAATGGCACCAATGAGAAATTTTGTATTTTGGTGATGTATGCATACACATACATTATGAGTGCCTGACGCATTAATTGTAATACTTAGGTTTAATTGTAATAATTAGGTTTAAGAGTACAAAACTTTGAATAACTGACTTTGACGTTAGGGTAGTCTTTTTTAAATGCAACATGTAATACATTAAGATTGAGTAGCAATAATTTTTTTTTTGAATATTTTGGTTTTTCTTAACACTTATATAATCTTTTTTTCCTGGCATCTATCTCAAAAATTTATCACTTTGATAAAAGTTAATCACTAAATTAACTGTTTCTGGTGAAAGTGGGTTTCCAGTTTTTTTTTAAGGCAATGATAGAATTCCATGCTCATTGCTTTTCTTGCAGTTCCATGCTTTTCTTGCAGTTCAAACAAGATACTCAGATACTTCAAAGTAGCTTGATATCTTTGTATGTGTCCATGATTTTGGTGCAAGTGTTAACATTTGCACCTTATGGCGATAAGAGTCAGTCTCTGAAATTTTTGATTTTATTTCATACATTAAAATGTCTAGATCATGGTCATTGTCAATGTTGTTGTTTGAAATAAGCCTTTTATTTCTGTTATTAAAAAAGTTTCTTTAATGTTATATGCATATGAGACCATTTTTGCAACTCTGTCAATAGTGTTCTCAAACTTTTGTTTTGCTGCAGGCAATTTACTGTGTTTTGAAAGACTTTTTAGTTAGACTGGTGAAATTCCAAGCAATTCTATAGTAGTATCTAACTTAATTTTTTTCTCACTTTTTGATTCCCATTCCTCCTGTGAATTTAAATCTCCATCTGTTTCTACTGCTTTTTGGTAACATTTACTGCAGAATTTCCGACCTGGAGTTACATAAGCATTATTTTGTTACAAAAATTTTGCCAAGTCTAGGGAAACCTTTATATTACCTAAGAAACAAATTTAGTTTTAGTTTTAAGTTTTTAAATTAACTGAAAATATAAAAAATTTTATAAATAATAAATGTTCTTCTTGTAATTAATGTTAGATTACTTTTTATAGCAAATTTTTGACTTTCCTTGTGTGTTTTAAAAGGATTGCAACACTTTGTAATTTTTCTCTCAAAATATTTTCCATGGAATTGCTCATGATAACAACATATAATTCTTATTGAACAATATTTTTCTTTTAAATTCGCTTGCCATATTATTTCTTCTTGTTTTTCACAAGAAAGATCTTTGAATTGTACAAAACCTTGTTTTCTAGAAAATCCAGTTTTGTGGCAATGAATGTTAAGACTTTTTCTAATGTCACATTTCTCCATATTAAATATGTTTATTATTTGTAATATTACCTGCCAAGAAATACAAAAGCGATAAAATTTACAATCATTCTTTAAGAAAATACAAACAAGTAAAGTACAACCTTTAAAAAGAACAAAATAAAACATTTGCTTGTTTTTGATATAATAAGAGGTAAGCACTCACCAATTTGAATTAAAATAATGAAGAAAAATTGTTTTTCAAATTAAAAAAAAATTATGGTTTTTAAATTGAATTTTAATAATTGTTTATTATTATATCATTTAATGCATAAAAAAAGAATTAAAAAAAAATCCAGGGAGATTGGGGGGGGGGCAGAGTTAGTCAGAGACCCTCTGACGCTCCCTTGGCCTATGACTATAAACATCCTAAACTAGTCAATAAATAACACTATTTGATGTTTTATTCAAATAAATGTTTTAAAAAATATTTCAATTACTTTCGTTACAAAATTTAAATTTTTCTAAAAAGACAATTTTTAAACACAAATTTTGATCAAGTATTGGAGAGACAATTGATGAATCTAATTTTTTTTCAGTAGACCTAAGATAAAATAATGATATACAATTAAACTTTTTATTTTAGATTTTGGGCCACAGTCTTCATTTTACCTCCAAAAATCATTAATTTACAAATCAATAATTTTGAACGAAATTGGATAAATGAGGCACAAGACAACCGAGTCTTGAGGGTGCTCTTTTTGGATTCCGCAAGTAAAAACCTAATGGGTTACCAAATTTTAGGAAGTTTTCCCAAGCTATTATGAAGATACTATATGTCAAAGTTGCTTCAGATGATCACTAAAATGCTGAGTCAGCATTATTTTAACTGACAATATCTCTGGAACCCATGTTTTTAACTAAAATTTGCGCAGTTATTATTTTATTAATATGGACTGCAAGTGAGGTAAAAATGAACAAATTCTGAGATGCAAGAGTGTCATTGTCTGGATGATTTCATATGGAATGACCCTAAGGTGCTCAAAAAAGATCTATTGGTCTTATCACAGAGTATCATGGAGAAGCATTTAAGAGCCACATTAAACCACGAACCACTTGGTTTGTGGTTCAATAGTTGGTATTTTAACTATAACATGCTATATATTATTTCAACTATAACATGCTATATATTAACAAAACTTTGAAACACTTTTTTAACTATGATAAACTGTCTTCTCCATTAAAAATGCGATCGGACAAAAAAGCGCTAGCTGGATGGTTATTTTCAAGGCTGGCATCGCACGATTTTAAAAATTGATCTATATTTGTTATTTAAATTAAAACAAAAACAGCAAAAAAAATCTTTTGAATCAATTTTAAATAAAATAATTTTTTTAAAATATGGCAAAATAAATGTTTTATTTAAATTCTAGATAAAATGATTAAAAGAAAAACAAACAAAAAAAATAAAAACGTTTTATATTAAACAAAATAATTTTAAAAAAAATGGAAAGACAAAAATTTAATTTTAACTCTAAATAAAATAATTAAAATGAAAATATCAAAACGAATGTTTTTATTTAAGTTCAATATAAAAATAGTTAAAATAAAAACAGCAAAAAAAAATTTAATAAAGTTCTAAATAAAATAATTACATTAAAAACCGCAAAAAAACATTTTATTTAATAAATTCTAAATAAGATAATTAAATTAAAAATGGCAAAACAAATGTTTTATTTAAATTCTAAATAAAATAATTCATGCATAAAAAGTGTTTTTAAGATTTTTTATAAAAGTACTTGATGAACAAAAAGATTAATTGCAATTAAAAAAACAAACACTTTTATTCTAATTTTTAAGTGCCTTTTAATGGGCTCACTAAAATTTTTGCGGGTTTGTGGGAATAAAGGCTTGCGTGCATGATAGTGATGACCAAATGGACCGAATGGAGAGGAATGAATAACTAGAGAAAAAAAAAGTTTTTTTTTGTGAAAAAATAATTTCAAAGAAAATTATTGACACTTACATCTTTGAGAACATTCTTAACTTTATTTATATCAAGTAAATCTTCATAAACACGATTATCTCCAGCTCTCATAAAATCACCAAAAATGATTGGTTTGCTTTCAAGTTCTTCAATATTTAATGACTATTAAAATAAGTATACATATGTTTTAAAAACTAATACATTATTATACTTACTGAAATAATGGAATGAAGTATTCTTAGATTGTAAACATTGGTCTGCATTACACAGCACTAATGGTATTACACTGAAATAGGGATAGGCAAGGACTGTAATATATACATCAACTAAGAAATAAAATTTTGGCAAGCTATATCTGTGTATAAAGGAAAACTATTACAAGAAAAAAAAATTGTTTCTTCTTTACTATTGTATACAATGATAGATTGTCTGTCAGGTCAGGTTATTCTGGTACTGGTAACATGCAACCCAGTACAACCTGCTTCATGTCCTGCTGCCTTGTAGGATATGCTTTTTTAGGCAAAGGCTAGGAGAAGCCAACTTCGACATAAAACACCCTTTTACTCTTGGTTAAGTAAAGGCTAGAGATGGTGTCTCGATAAAAATACTCATCTTGAGCAGATATTAGATGCATCGAACTACTTGTAGAATGCCTCCTAGGCAAAGACTTAAGGGGTAAACAAATTTTGATTCTATATGTTGACCAGCCTCGCACCCTTTCTTCATCTATTAGGTTCGCATAGATGTACTTATAATATTTGTTTCCAGTTTAGGATGTTGAATGCTGGATCTTCTTGACTCAATGCATAGGTTTCGCTCGTTTCTCTATTTTTATGACTTGGCAACTCATTCTATTTTCTCCTAATGAGAGTGCAGCTCTAAAACTCAGTTTTATGGTTCTGAGGCTGTCTGTTAGTCAGGTTTCCTAGCTTTGTGGTAGCTGTAAATATCAGAGTACTAACAGTGCCATGTTGCACATGGATGGTGTCCCTGTTTGCACTTTTGGTGTGAATTGTTGAGGCCACATTTGGAGCCCTTTGTTACAGCTTTGGGTTTATTATTAGAGGCAATTGCTTGGACTATTAAATAGTGTATTGAGTGCTATCTGTGCTTTAATTTAAGTTCTTTAACAAATTTAAAAGTGACTAAAGTACCATAAACTATAAAATACAAAAAACCATCGTCATCACCAAGTTCTCTAAATCTATCATTCACTAATATTCATGGTCTTTGAAATAACTTTTCTTCTATTTTCTTCTAGTCTTATCTCTTGCAAAGTTCACCAGACCTACTTGCTTTTTGTGAGACTAATTTGAGTTCAGCTGCCTCATCTTGTGATTTTAGTGTTGATGTTGATAAATTTAAAAAGAGTTCAATATCCACATGCTTGGCTTGGGTATCTACATTTGTAAGAATTCACCCACTTGTCGGGATAATAGGTTTGAATCCACAGATTATTTTTTTATGTGTTTTCAATTAGCAACACTTCACTCTATCACCTTTCTCTTTGTTCTATATTGCTCTCCTTCATCTCGAGACTGCACTCTTCTTGATGTTATTTCTTTTTGATGTTATTTATGATCAAATAGATCAAGTCCTTTCTCTTTATCCTTCAGCCAATATTGTTGTTATTGATGACTTTAATGTTCATCATACTAAATAGCTTGGTTTTAGTGACTCTACAGGCGTTAAGACCCAGAACTTTTGTCTTTCTCAATCTCTAACACAAATAGTCAACTTTCCAACTCAACTTTCCAGACAATCTGAATTAATTATGATATCTTACGATCTCGACTTTTGTCTTGTTTCTGATCCTAGTCAGTGCTCAGTTACTCCACATTCACCCTAAGGTGCTTCTGATCGTAGTTTGATCTCTCTAAAACTAATATCTCGTTCTTATTTTTCATCAGATCTCCCCTATTGTCCTACCTCTTACAACTACCTCAATCACTCATCTAACTGGAACTCTTTCCCTGATTTTCTTCATGATCGCCTTGATTAGAAATCTTTCATCTTCCTGCTGTTAAGTGTGCTTAATAAATAACTTCTTGGATTCAGGCTGGCATGGAATCTTTTATTCCCTCATGACAATTCTAAATCAAGCCTCACTCTTCTCCATGGTTTTCCTCTCATTGTGCTGCTGTAATTTCTAATCATAACCATTACTTTCATATGTATCAGCAAAATAATTCTTCAGAAAACAGACATCTGTTTACTATTGCTAGAAACCATTGTAAAAAGGTTTTGTCTAACGCCAAAGCCTGCTTTTCTCAGTTATTGAAATCTCCTATTTCATCTCAAAAAGCTCTCATGACTTCTGGAAAAACTTTAACATCATCTATAATAAGGGCAAATCTGTTATTCTACCTTTCTTTTATGGTTTAGATTTTGTCGCCTCACCTAAAAACAAAGCTGAATTGTTTGCTAAAAACTTTTCATCATTATTATCTCTTGATTCCAATAGTCGCGTTCTACCTGATACAGCCCACAGACAAGTTAATCCATTGTCTGACCTTCATATCACTCCAGTTCTGTATCTAAAGTGATTTCCTGCTCAGACTCTTCTATGGGTTGTGGTCTGGATAACATACCTGTTATAGTCTTGCAGAAGTGTTCTCCAGAGCTGTTGTTTATACTTTTAAAACTATTTAACTATTAAAGTGTTTATCAAAGTCTTGTTTTCCAGCCTGCTAGAAAACGACATCTGTTATCCTTATTTTCAAAAATTCTATAGAGTAATCTGACTCATCTAACTACCGTCCCATTAATCTTCTTGCCATCATAAGCAATGTTTTTGAGTCTTTATTTAACAAACACTTAATCTGTCATCTTGAATCTAATAAACTTTCTGATCATCAATATGAATCTCAATCTTTTTGTTCTACTGTTAATTTCTTAACGGTAATAGCTGATAGGCTTTATTGTGCATCAGATAGATGTGAAGAGGCGAAGGCTATTGCTCTCAACATTTCTAAAGCCTTTGAGTTTGAGTAAAGTTTGGCATGTTGGTCTTTTCCATAAGCTCTGTTTTTACATTCCATCAGGTAACATCTTTATGCTTACTGAATCCTTCCTTTCCAATCATAGTATAAAAGCTGTCCTCAATGGACAGCACTCTTCTTCTTAATCTGTAACTTCAGGGGTTCCTCAAGGTTCTCTCCTTGGCCCTATACTTTTTTTAATTCACATTAACGATTCTCACTAATCTAAGGCGGCATTGTTCACTGATAGCACTACCATTAATTCTTGTTTTGATTAGAAGCCAACATTCTCTGATTGCTTGGAGGGGGCATTTGAGCTTGAAAAAGATCTCACTTCTTTAACTCAAATAAAACTCAATTTTTTTCAGCCAATCGTTATCGCAATAATTTAGATCTTCCTCTATTTGTGAATGGTAATGTACTCGATGAGTCATCTACTCTTCATCTTCTAGTAAAAAATATGGAAAACATATATCAAATCTATTGCAAAATTAGCATATGCTAAGGTTGTATCTCTTTATCATACTCACCACTTTCTTACTCAGGACTCTATTGTTTATCTCTAAATCTCACATCCGTCCTTGTATGGAATACTGTTGGCATATATACTTTTGACATATTCCAATGATGCATTGTCTCTTTTAAACAAGGTGCAAAAATGCATTGTAAACATAGTTAGACCTGCTTTTGCAGCCAACCTCCAACCATTATCACATTGGCATAATGTTGCTACTCTTTCTCTTTTATACTACTGCTCTAAAGTGCTAATGTCTCTTGTGCCATTTACTAAAAATTATTTTTGTGTTACTCATTATTAAATTAAGTATCATCCTTATACTATGACTGCTTCTAAGTACTCCAAAAGTTCTAGTTTTTTTCCTCGAACATCAGCCCTATGAAATTTGTTTCCTTCATCTTGTTTTCCTGATTCATATAACTTGCAATCTTTTAAGTCGTCTGTTATTCATTATCTTGCTCTATATATTTCATCTTTTCTCTTCCAGTAACTTCCAACTCTAATAGTGATTGCAGCCTTGTTGGAAGTGAAGATGTTGAAAAAAAAAAAAATAGATTTACACAGTACTAATATATTCTGTAGACTTTAATTTTTGAAGTGTGCAAAAAAAGTTGGAAAAAAAAGTTTTGCCTAATAAATGTCATTCATATAGAATTATCACCTGCCTAAACACAACCCCTCAATTGATGCAACTACAGATGGCTACTTTGGTATTATCAGTGACATTTTCAACACAACAAAGTTCATATTTGTGCTGAAATATATTTTATTACAACATATATATATTCACTAAAAAAAACTAACAAAAAAACAAATAAAAAAAATAAATAAATGAACTCAGTTTGCTATATGTCATATATAGCAAATGGAATATGAAAATGAAATGTGTTTAGTTAATATAACAATTAAACACATATATAGGTTATGTTAAAATAAACTTCCTATCATCTTTCATTAATGTATCAACTCTTATAAGCATTGCTCATCATGTGAACAAGTTTTAAGAATATGTCAATAAGTGATCACTGAATTTATTTTATAATTAGAGGGCAAAATTGCACAAAAAATATTACCTAACCAAAAAAATGTTATCCTTAAAATTATCAGATCTAATCTTTCCCTTATTTTCTTCTATTTATTCTTAATTTTCTTTTATTTTCTTCTGTCTATTTATATTCATAACAGCTCTATTAATGATGATATCATAACAGCCCTATTATGATGACATTATAACAGCCCTATTATGATGAGGCTATTTTGAGAAAAGATTGTAACATCTAAATGATATGAGGTTATTTTAATAATAGTTTATTGCCTATTAAACTTATAAATTCTCTTTAATGACAGAGAATTTGAAAGTAATGAAGTAATAAGAAATTTAAGAGATTATCTCTTACTGGATAATTCAATATGTTTATTTAAACTTTTAGTTCTTAGATATCCAAAAAGGTTAATGAAGGTGAAAAAATTGCTGATGTTTAATAAAAAAATCTATGAAACACCACATGTCTACATATACATACTATGTACTTATTTATTATTACTTAATTCTTGGCTTTCTAGACAGAATAAAATATTAAATAAACTATAAGATGTATCAATTACTTATTTATTACAACTTTGATAAAAGGTTAAATAAATTATAAGATTTAATAATAAAACAACTTACAATAGAAAAATTTGTGTGAGTTATATCCTTAAGTATTTCATTAAAATAGCTCTTGTCTTCATTGTTTATTAGACGATCATGGAACACTCGTTGTGATTCGTGGATAAACAAACGAAGCATTTGATCTTTTTCTCTTATTATTCCTAAATCAGCTTGTAAGATACCTACAATTTAAAGAAATTTCAAAAAAATTCAAGCTAACTATTATAAAAATGCTGACCATACTACAAAATGCTGACCAAACTACGAAATGCTGACCGTACAACAAAATACTGACCATACTACAAAATGCTAACCATACTACAAAAAACCATTTTAACTTCACATACAAGCTTCATGCTCTAATGTAACAAAATGTATGCTAACATGTTTCAACTTTTATTATTATCCAAAAAAAAAGGGAAAGCTTTAATTCTTGTTTATACTACATCCTAAAACACAAGTATACTATAAATTAATAATATTATTTTAATATTAATCATATTTTTATAATTTAAAAAGTAAATTTACTCAATTACTGGAAAACATATTTTTCAGAATTTTTATTAGAGTAACATTTAGTGCAAAATAATTAAGTATAACTCGATTTTTTAGCTTTTAATTTTGCGCTTTTAAAGAAGAGTTTAAAACTTTCAAAATGTGTATATTAATGGTCACAAAAACTGAAAAAACTTTAAATATCCACTTTTCACCCCTTCTTAATTTCTACCACTTTATTAAGAATGTATTGTTTATAAAACAACTAATTTTTAGCTGCTCAAATTTGCTCCATTTCGATTAAATATCAATTATTTCTAAAGACACTATATACTATATATATATATATATATATATATATATATATATATATATATATATATATATATATATATATATATATATATATATATATATATATATATATATATATGATATATATATATATATATATATATATATATATATATATATATATATACATATATATATATATATATATATATATATATATATATATATATATATATATATATATATATATATATATATATATATATATATATATATATATACATATATATATATATATATATATATATATATATATATATATATATATATATATATATATATATATATATATAACCATATAAACTAATATAACCGTTTTTTGAAAGGTTTTATTAGTTTGATAATGGCTCTTACTATATGAGCCGAAATATCACTTATAGAGAAAAGAAATAGTATGATACCGTATATGATGTTTTAATGCTTATAATTACACATATTTTTAAAGATGTCACTTAAATTTTATATATATATATATATATATATATATATATATATATATATATATATATATATTCTACAGCTGATCCAGATAAGCATTTGCTCACTAGTTTTGCTTATCTTTATAAAATAGCATATTTTTTGAAAAAGAGAAAAATGAAAAATAATGAAAGAAAAGATTGCCCTATGCCAAACACCCAGTCATTGTAGCAGTACTCCGCTGCGAGTCAAGTTATTTGACAGTTGATGTATGTACTGAAGCCCCCCAGCAGCAGGCTATTTCAGTGTGACGTCAGAGTGCTCATCTAAACAAGCAATTTAAGTTTTATATCCTAAGTGTAGAACATACCCAAAAAGTCTAATCTAACAATTTAAAAAAGATATTCCCATTTTAAGAGAATTTTTATCAGGAGTAAACATTCTGATTTTTACTAGATTGTTTATCTCACTTGGCTAAGCAAAACAAACATTGCACAATTGCGATGAATTCATAGCCATGATAGCATTTACAGATTTTCCATCAAGGATTGTTAAGTCAACAACAATTTTAATTTTTATGGAACCATTCTTTTCATTACTAAAAAGATCTAAAATATAGTCCTCAAAATTTTTGATTTGTTTAAGAATAATTTCTTCTTCTGCAATGAGTTTACTTGCTAACTTTTGGTATTGTAGTTGAAAAGATCTAGAGAAATGAGGACTAGATGGTTTTGGATTATTCCATATGTTTATACCTCCAGTACTTAAGTTCAAAAGAACTAATGCAGTCTGAAATTTTGATTGTTCATTCTGCATTCTAGTAATAAGATCAGTATCATCAAACCTTCGATTGTAAATATTCAGGGTGACAACTCAAATTTGAAAATAAAATTCCATGACTTTTCCATGACTTTTCATAAACTTTTATGATAAACCACTAACCAGTAAATTATTCAGTACTTGCCATGCACTAAGCATTCGGCAAAAAGTTCTGAAATCATGTCCGAAAAAAAACTCTCTTTCTTTTACATCTCTGATAATCTATAACTTACACTGCAAAAGTATCTTTTTGGAAAAGGACTTAGACTAGACATACTTGTACTTTTCTTTGCATCCTAAAAATATCACAAGCAGAAAAAAAAAGATCATTTTAAAAAGTTCCATGAATTTTCCATGACTTTCAATGAAAGTTTAGAATTCCATGACTTTTTCCATGACCAAATAAAATTCCATAACATTCCCATGATTTCCATGATTTACCTGATTATTTTGTGAAGAAGCCCCACCCATGCCACATTTCACACTAAATACTCTGCTTGTCATAGTTTTATCTAAATTCAGGACAAAGTATGATAAACCATGGTCTGTAAAATACATTTTTGATGTTTCTGTAATGTGCAAATTTTAGAATTGTTTTTACCAGGGGATAAATGTCGGCATTTTGCATCGGAGATGAGTATCAAATAATCTGATATTAAGAATCACTCAAACCACAATTAATTTCAAGTGACAAAGCTTGATCTGAATAGATCATAATTTACTGATGTTTATTACCTTTTTTTTTTTTTTTGCTTGTTTTGTTTTTAGAATACTCATTCCCAAATCTAATTTTCAGGACTTGGTTTTGCACATTCAACACCAGTTTCTCCTAACTAATCAGCTGAACAATATTTTCCCAATCTATAATAACATAATTATTATTGGTTGAAGTGTTTCCACTATGGTAATGCAAATTTTTATTAGGGTTACTCAACATATTTTTTTATAAGTTGAAATTATTCTTTCATAGCTTCATACTCCACACTTAAACAGTTTTCCTTAATATAATTTCTTAATTAAAATGATCCTATGGAAAATGTAAAGCAAACTTTTACAAATCAATGCCCTTTCACTCTTAAACTGTTACAAAACAGGATTGAGCGTTTTTACCATGAGGCTATCAATAGGAAGATTACCATTATAGGTTTAAAAATTCCTGCTACCTTTACCAACATTCAAGATAGGATCTTGTATTACAATTTTTTTTCTCCTATTTGATTTGTTCTCACCATGGCTAAAGAGCCTCACTTGCCTTAAATATATTTGTATTCAACTTTATATCACAGGTTTTTTAAAATAAACACAACATTTTTTTAAAATAAACACAACAACTTTTTAAAATAAGCACAACAACAATTAAGGGGTAAACAGGGTAAACTATCTGTTGACCAGCCTCGCACCCCTTCTTCATCTATTAGGCTGGCGCAGATGTATTTTTAATACATTGTTTCCAGTTTAGGATGTTGAACGCTGGATCTTCTTGACTCAATGCATAGGTTTTGTTTGTTGAAAAATATCAGAGTACTAACAGTGCCATGTTGCGCATGGATGGTGTCCCTGTTTGTACTTTTGGTGTGCATTGCTAAAGCCACATAGACCCTAAGCCCTTTGTTACGGCTTAGGGTCGATTAGTGGAAATGAGGCAATTGCTTGGGCTATAAGACAGAGTACTGAGTACTATCTATGTTTCCAGTCAAGTTCTTTAACAAATTTAAAAATGAATAAAGTAACAAAAACTATAAAACACAAAAAACCACAGTCATCACCAAGTTCGCTAAACATTCACCAATATTCGTGGTCTTCGAAGTAACTTTTCTTCTGTTGAGTCTTATCTCTTGCAAAGTTCACCAGACCTACTTGCTCTTTGTGAGACTAATTTGAGTTCAGCTGTCTCATCTTGTGATCTTAGTGTTGATGGTTATCTTCCTTTAATTCGTAAAGACTCCAATAGTCACATGCTTGGCCTGGGCATTTACATTCGTAAGAATTCACCCATTTGTCGGGAAACTAGGTTTGAATCCACAGACTACTCTTTTATGTGCTTTCGTTTAGCACCACTTCACTCTATCACCTTTCTCTTTGTTCTATATCGCTCTCCCTCAACTCAAGACTGCACTCTTCTTGATGTTATTTCTGATTATATTGACCAAGCTCTCATTCTTTATCCATCAGCCAATATTGTTGTTGTTCGTGACTTTAATGTTCATCACACTGAATGGCTTGGCTCTAGTGTCAGTGACTCTGCAGGCATTAAGGCCCACAACTTTTGTCTTTCTCAATCCCTAACTCAAATAGTCAACTTTCCAACTCGCTTTCCAGACAACCCAAATCATTTACCTTCTCTACTCGACTTATGTCTTGTTTCTGATCCTAGTCAGTGCTCAGTTTCTTCACACTCACCCTGAGGTGCTTCTGATCATGGTTTGGTCTCTCTAAAACTATTATCTCATTCTTCTTTACCATCAGAATTCCCCTATCATCGTACATCTTTCCGTGATCTTCTTCATGATGTTCCCTGGGTAAAAAATCTTTCGTCTCCCTGTTAACAAATGTGCTTCTTACATAACTTTGTGGATTCAGGCTGGCATGGAATCCTTTATTCCCTCTCAACAATTCCAAGTCAAGCCTCACTCTTCTCCATGGTTTTCCTCACATTGTGCTGCTCCAATTGCCAATTGAAACCATTACTTCCATATCTATCAGCAAAACAATTCTCCAGAAAACAGACGTCTGTTTATTACTGCTAAGAACCATTGTAAAAAGGTTTTGTCTAATTCTCAAGCCTGCTATTCTCAGATCATGAAATCTTGTATTTCATCACAAAAATTAGGCTCTCGTGACTTCTGGAGAATCTTTAATAGTATCAATAATAAGGGCAAGTCTGTAATTCCACCTCTTTTGTACGGTTCAGACTTTGTCACCTCACCTAAAAACAAAGCTGAATTATTTGCTAAGAACTTTTCATCAATATCATCTCTTGATGCCACTAGTTGCGTTCTACCTAATATAGCCTTCAAACAGGTTGATCCACTGCTCGACATCCATATCACTCCAGTTTCTGTATCGAAAGTGATTTCCCGCTTAGACTCTTCTACAGCTTGTGGCCCGGACAACATACCTGTTATAGTCTTGCAGAAGTGTTCTCCTAAGCTGTCGTCTATCCTTTCAAAACTATTTAACAAGTGCTTATCAGAGTCTTATTTTCCAGCCTGCTGAAAAGCAGCATCTGTAATCCCTATTTTTAAAAATTCTGGAGAGCGATCCATTTCGTCTAACTACCGTCCCATTAGTCTTCTTCTTATCATAAGCAAGGTTTTTGAATCTTTAACTAACAAACATTTAATCTCGAATCTCGAATCTCATAACCTACTTTCTGATCATCAATATGGATTTCAATCTTCTCGTTCTACGGCTGATTTGCTAACAGTAATAACCGATAGGTTTTATCGCGCATTAGATAAAGGTGGAGAGGTTAAGGCCATTGCTCTTGACATTTCTAAAGCGTTTGATAAAGTTTGGTACGCTGGTCTCCTCCATAAGCTTTCTTCTACGGTGTATCTGGAAATATCTTTAAGATTATTGAATTCTTCTTTTCCAATCGTAGTATAAAAGTTGATCTTGATGGACAGCACTCTTCTTCTTATTCGGTAAACTCAAGGGTTTCTCAAAGTTCAATCCTTGGCCCTATACTCTTTTTAATTTACATTAACGATCTTCCAGATATTCTCACATCTAAGGTGGCATTGTTCGCTGATGATACTACCATTTGTTCTTGTCACGGTAAGAAGCCAACTCCCTCTGATTGCTTGCAGGGGACATCTGAGCTTGAAAAGGATCTCACTTCTGCTACAGCATGGGGCTCACGTGGCTGGTGAACTTTAATTCAGATAAAACTCAATTTTTTTTGGCCAATCATTATCGCAATAGTTTAGACCTTCCTATATTTATGAACGGTAATGTACTCGGTGAGTCTCCTACCCTTCATCTTCTAGGATTAACTCTTACTTCTGATCTTTCTTGGAAACCTTATATCAAATCTGTTGCAAAATTAGCATCTGCTAAAGTTGCTTCTCTTTATTGAGCTCGTCACTTTCTTACTCTGGGTTCTATTCTCTATCTCTATGAATCTCAAATCCGGCCTTGTATGGAATACTGTTGCCATATCTGAGGCGGATCTTCTAATGATGCCCTTTCTCTTTTAGACAAGGTGCAAAAACGCATTGTAAACATAGTTGGACCTGCTCTTGCAGCCAACCTTCAACCTCTGTCACATCCTCATAATGTTGCTTCTCTTTTTCTTTTCTACAAATACTATAATGGGCACTGCTCGAAAGAGCTAGCGTCTTTTGTGCCATCTACTAAAACTCATTCTCGTGTTACTCGTCATTCAATTAAGTCTCATCCTTTTTCTGTTACTGTTCCTAAGTGCTCCAAAAACTCTTATTCGTCTAGTTTTTTTCCTCGAACATCAGTTCTTTGGAATTCGCTTCCTTCATCTTGCTTTCCTGATTCATATAATTTGCAATCTTTTAAGTCGTCTGTCAATCGTTATCTTGCTCTACAATCTTCATCTTTTCACTTCCAGTAACTTCCAACACTAATTAGTGGTTGCTTGCAGCCTTGTTGGAAGCAAAGATAAATAAAAAAAATAAAAAAATAAAAAAAATACTAATAAAGTAGAAACTACCTTGAAACTTTCCTCCTTTTTGTTCTTGATGAAAACTCTTTCCATTTTTCCTGGTCTTCCGGCTTTTAAAGCTAAATCAGGTTCAGCATTTTTATTCTGGAAAAACTCACCCTCTAACCAGGGTACTTCATGTTTAATTAGTCTTGCAAAAAAAAGATTTTGCTTTGTATACTTTACTCTAGATTTGAGAATAAAAAGTCTAATTTTTTTCTGAGAGCTCCATATCAGACAGTTCTTTATTGGTGAATAAAGAACTGTCTGATATGGCTTTTTTTCTTTACTTTAGCTTCTAATAAAACCGCTTCCAAATGATTAATACCAACTTCTTCAATTATGTTTATTAGTTCTAATCTTTTCATGTTTAATCAGCAACAAAGGAAACACTTGAATAATCTTGCAAACAAACTCTAGTACAATTGACAATTAACATTTTAACAATTGAAAACAATTTAATTTCAACTTTATTTACAGAAAAAGATCTCTTTTTTTATAAAATAAGATTAGTATAAAAAATTGCTTAAATTTCAGTTTCTATTAAAAAAATGGGAAAAAGCTTTGGCCACTTTTTCGCAATTGAGACTCATACTGCATTATCTGTTCTATAAAGTTTTGTGTCAATTTTTTTTACTAAATGGATATTTTTTTAATAAATATAAATTAAAAGACAAAATGAATGAACAAAAAACTATTGAGCAAACACATATGGATTATTTAAAGTTGATTCATAAATTTATACTTGAAACACAAAGAACAAAAAACAAAAATTTTTACAAAAACATCAAATTTAGACGTATTTTATGCAAGATACAATAAATGATATTCACAACATAAAATAAAAAAATATATACCTTGAATACATTTTGATAAATCTCTAAGATTAAAAATATAATGCGATTTAGCTGGCGTAGGACGAAGATCTGTGCTCATCCTGCTGTAAATTTCCACACTGTAATAAAAATAACATTATAAAAAACATTTTTTAGAACAAATTTTAAAAAGTTACATTTATACCAAAAGTTACCTTGCTGCAACAATATTTTCTGCCATATCTCTGACTGCAACAGGAAAATCCACTAAAAAACCTTTCAGTATTGACTAAAAATAAAGTCAATATATCAATGATATATTACACTTATAACATTTTTCTTTAACTCGTCAAAAAAATCTTAATAACTCTGCCATAGAATAAAAAGAATAAATAAAATTTAAAGTAACTTACAAAATGCAATAAAAATAAATTAACAGAGCTAATTAATCAAATTAATTAAGCAAATACATCAAATAAAAGAACCAGTTGATTAAAATCAATTAACCAAATTAATCAAATGACCTTAAAAATATGTTTGAGTGTAGTATTTGTAGCAGTTGGAATACACAACAAACCAAAATGACGAATAAAACGTGGAGAGACTGGATTTCTTCCACCTCCAGGAGGCGCACATGCTGCACAAATTGTTACTTCCTAAAAGAAAAATACTTTGAATAAATTATTCATGTTGAGTCTTTTATAAATATTTACAGAGTATTTTATATATCATAAATCAGAATCCATATGATCAAACGACTTGTTAAAAAAATTATATTACATACTTGTAGCTCTTTCCAAAAAAGTTTTTCTCTGTCATAAAAACCACCAAAGTCCTATAAAAAAGTATTGTTAAAGCTAGATTAGAAGCTTTTGATCAGTAGAATATTACTGGGCATTATGCCCAGTAATATTCTATTGATCAAAAGTACAAATAGTTGGACAATGAATCTGATACAATTTGTAAATTTCAAAATGCTTGGATGAAGATTACAATAGAAATAGCCATATATATATATATATATATATATATATATATATATATATATATATATATATATATATATATATATATATATATATATATATATATATATATATATATATATATATATACATATATTATATTGTAAAAGTTTGTAATTATTGCATACAGTTTAAATTTTCAAATTAAACAATTGAAGATGTAATCAAATGGTAACATAGTAAGTATTAGATATAAATTTTTAAATTATAAAGTTTTAACCCTAACTGTACCATTCTTAAATTATTTTTTCACACAGTGGCCTCATTCATCAAAAGTTAAAGGAGCAACTATAATAATAAAGTACTATTTTTTTTTTTCAACAATTTAAAAATAAAAACTAGTATTACCAACTCAAAACCTAGACCAGGGTTTTAACCAGGAATAAATTTGATACAGCGTTTTGACGAAATTGGGGATTTGTCAAAAAATTTCCCAATCCTACCCCCTTCCCCTTATACTAAAATGTGTTCCGGGAACATGTGGTATTCTTTTCTTATATTATTTCTTCTTCTACTTCACTGCAGTGCTGCATACATTGATTGGACAGTGCCAAAAATAAAATAAAATACCGTCTGTATCAACACAAAATTAGACAAAATTAGTTTCACTATGACACAGCAATTTAAGCTCCAATTTCCAAAGATATATTAAGAATTATATACTTTTATATTATAAAATAATCGGTGTATGTTATTTAATTATTATAAAGAATAATATATTTAATATATCATTGCCACTTTCATTTTAAGAGAATTCTTTTGAATATATATTTCTTTTTCAATAATGGGCATTAAATGGCGATTTTTAAAGTAATATAGCAATTTATGTTCAATGAAAATCTCTGTAAAAAAGAGCAAATGATCTCCTACTTAATTATTTAAATTCTGTGTGACGTCCTTCATAGACGAACCCTTACACCACCATGTAATAAATTGTGTTCTCAAAAGAAAAATTTTTAAAATAGAAAAGGTTTGAAAATAGTAAACAAAAGCTCATAAACTTCATATTTCACATTTATTGCGAGTTCATTTTTATAATTAATATTAATTTTCTTTAGACACAAATTGCATAGCAAAATAAAATTACAAAATCTCAGCAAAAACAATAACTAATGTTGTTTAACTACAAAAAAAAAAATTTTTTGTACAATATTTGCTGTTGTAGAACGCATTGCAAAAAATTATTCGCAAGTTTTAAAAAATGAATTTTACAAGCAAGTTGCCAAGAAAATCCCTAAAATTGCTGAGAAAATCCCAATTCTCAAGAAGTTTTTTTCAATAGACATTTTGGCAGTTATGCAATTGCATATTTGTACCAATAACAGTGTTTTTATTTCAAGTTTTGCACAATTAATAAATTAGAGTTTTTTATGTTATTTTTCTATTAGTTTTTGAAAATAATTAATTTTCAATAATGTTTAGAACTATTATTAAACTTTAATTTGTAAAACTTTATTTGGAGAATGGGATTTTTTTGCCTTTTATTGGGAATTTGAATTTTTTGAGTTTTGGGAAATACTGCTGGGCTACACCCTGGGTTTACACCCTGTAGACCTCTAGACCTAGAGGTTTAGATGATAAATATATTAAATAAATAAAATACATACTTGATATTGCCTCAACAACTCTATTGGAGGTTGGCAACCAAACATGTCAAGTTTTGGCATGTTCAAATCATCAACAAAAACAATAATGCGCTTTCCTGGTGGTGCACCTTTAAAATATGTTCAGAAAATAAATTGTTAAAAGAAAAGGCTTTTTTCATAACAAATCTTTCATAAAATTTATGATAATAACATACCCAAAATATTTTTGCGCTTTTTTTCAAGTTTTAATTCCACCATTTCTTGAGTACGAAAACTACTTGTTTGAGCAGA